CAGGTTGCCTAGGTTACCTGAACCTGCCACTCTTCCTCTAACCTTACTGCTAAAGCAACTAAAAATAGGGGCTGGGTGTATTGTCTGGAGAATACAGAGATTACGGCCCAGTTAACAAGTGGGGACAAAGCTAGTTGCAAATCCCAAAGTGCTGTTTTGCCAAGGGGTCCACAATATAATCATATATATAATTGGCACTTAAAAAAGGCAAGTACATGGAGCTGAAAATATTTATGAGCTAAATCAGTTTGGAGAATAAACATAAACAGGAAAATGCAAACCCTACATTAGAGAAAGAAGGTCATATTAGTTAAGAAACAACCTGTCTGAGATGGGAACTGATGTCATCAATATAAACTAGAAGCTAGGAATTGTAGCATAAGGATAAGGGAAGCTGCAGTACACAACAGAAAGAACAGGGAAAGAAGTAATGGGATTAGACTGCAACAGTGTAAATTGAGGTGGAATATAAAATAGGACTGTCTGAGCATAAAGTGCTTAAACTAAGGGTCGTTAAGTATTGGATTAGATTTGCTCGAAAGATTGCAAAATACATATCACTGGAAGTTTTTAAAAGTACAGGTTCAGTTAAACAGCTTTTTAGGCTGATTTAGATAGGGATGTTCCTTCCCCGAGCAGGGCATTGGATTAGATGGCCTCCTGAGGGCCTCTGGATAATAACCTATGGCCAACACATTTAAGCCCAATAAGAGACTTTTTTAAGCTTGCTGGAAACAAAAGGAATTTTAACAATGGTTTGGTCCATTATGTGATGGGAAGAATAGATTTTTTTATAAAAGGAAAGGAGTATTCAGTAAATATTTCTGCTTTGTATTTGGGAATAGCTAAATGGCATAACCATATCATATGTGATTATGTCTATCTATTACAGCAATAACTGAAGGAAATGTTAAACAACAGCTATTAGAATTAAACATTTTTAAATCAGCCGGTCCAGATAACTTGCATCCAAAAACCTGAAAGTACTTTCTGGACAGCTAAGGATCATTATCAGGATGTCTTCAAAACTTTTCTGGGAAAATTATAGAGGACTGTAAGAAAGTAAATGTTTTGCCAATATTTAACAAAGAATAAGTAGAATGATTTGAGTAATAATAGGCCCATCAATCAGATGCTGATCAGAGCAAAATGATGGAATGGCTTATAGGCATATCAATTAATAAAAAAGGACAATTAATGCTGCTCAACATAAGCCTATAGAAAAATACATCCTGTCAAAATAACTTGGTATCTTTTTTGAGGAGTTAAAAGCTTGGATAAAAAAACAGTACTGATAACAAGTGCAGAGTGCTGTACCTAGGGTGCAAAAATATCCAGCATGCCTACTGGAAGTGACCCTCTCAGCACTACAGCAGCAGAAAAGGATCTCGGAGTCATAGTGGACTCCAAGATGAACATGAGTCGTCAGCATGACGGAATCATCAGCAAAGCTAACCGCATTTTATCATGTATCAGCAGATGCATGACAAATAGATGCAAGGAGGTGATACTTCCTCTCTATGCGGCATTAGTCAGACTGCAGTTGGAGTACTGCATCCAGTTTTGGGTGCTGTACTTCAAGAAGGATGTTGATAGACTCAAGAGGGTCCAGAGGAGGGCCATTCATATGGTTATGGGCATACAGGACAAGCCCTATGAGGAGACACCGAGGGACCTGGACCTCTTCAGCCTCCACAAGAGAAGGCTAAGGGGTGATCTTGTGCCAGCCTACAAATTCATTTGGGGGATGCAGCAAAGGATCGGAAATGCTCTGTTCACCAGGGCGCCTCTTGGGGTAACAAGGAACAATGGTCACAAACTGACAGAGAGCAGATTTAAGCTACATATCAGGAAGAACTTCTTCATGGTAAGGGTGGCCAAAATTTGGAATGGGCTTCCAAGGGAGGTGGTGCCCTCCCCTACCTTGGGGGTCTTTAAGAGAAGGCTGGATAGGCACCTGGCTGGGGTCATCTGACCCCAGCACTGTTTCCTGCCTAGGCGGGGGGTCGGACTCAATGATCTGTTGAGGTCTCTTCTGACCCTAGCATCTATGAATCTATGAACATACTTAGGCTTCTGGAAGACATTAAAACAGAGTACCCCTACCCTTGTTACTAGGCATGAGGAGGGGAGACTGGGCAAGCTGCAGAAAGCCTGATGTCAAGAGGCAGCAGGTGTGAGCTGCTTATGTAAACTGAGCTACAAGTTGCAAAATGAGAGACTGATGATGAGGGAAGCAGCAGCACCTGAGTCCTGGGACTGGAAATCTGGATTGGATCACAGGAAGAGTCCTGGGTTGGGGGCATATAAGCCTAGCCTTTGGACTTGAATGGGGGAGTCTGATCCTGGTTGCCACAGGGTGAGGAGCCCTGAATGAAACTGACTGGGGGAAGGTATATGACAGCCCAGGTGAGATACCTGGGAGGCTGGGGAAACAAGCCAGCTGTGGGCAGGAAGGCTAAAGTGAGCAGAGACCCAAGGAAGAGTTTATATTTGAGTTGGAACTTTTTGGGTTGATGTTCTGTGTTCCGTTTTGGTTTAACTAGAGGTATGGGCTGTGATGATGGGGGAGGTTTCGAGGCCACATAACAGGATGCTAGGGGTATTCTACAGGTTGAGACCTGCTCTGAGCTGGAAGCAAGGGGCCAAGGCTGAGGAGCCAAGATCCACAGCAGTGGACCTGGGCTGAGAGCTCAGCTGCAGAAAAAGGGGCCAAACCTGGGAAGCCTGAAATTCCAAGAAGTGTTTTTGAGGCCTGGGGGGGACTGCCTTAAAGAGGAAGCAGCCTTAGAAAAGTATAGAGACCCCAGGACTGAGTTTGGGGCAGAGAAGCCCAACAACAGAGCCAAAAGTGGGGAGTGTTGAAGAATCTTGTTCCAGCCTCCTCCTCTCCCTCGGGGTAGTCTGTTCTCCCTCGTCACCACCGCCATCTCCCTCTCACGTGTCTATTGCTCTGGTTGCTAAGCAACCAATTCCGCCTAGGTGAGGGATTTCAGGTAAGAGGGTGTGGTTTTAACCTCTCTGTTGTTCTAAGCACTGACCTCAAGGCAAGGGGGCAGGGGCTTGAGCCATGTCACTCCCTGAGGTGACCAGTGATGCTTTTCAAATTGATTGATCAGCATCAAACAATACCTGCCCTGACTGGGTATGGATAATGATGTCAGAAAGGTTATTTAAGGGTCCCTTCTTCCTGGAAGAGGGAGAGCCATATTGGGGAACAAGGAGTAAGCACACAGTCTCTGGAGCTCTTCTAGGCTCCAGATAAACATGTGAGTAACTTACCTGAAATGCATCTAGAAATATAGCTTACTGTAATGTAGAAGAGTATCAGCCAGCTACTAAGCTGACACTGTTTGCTCTGGGTTATTCTTTGATACTTCTTTATCCTGTACCCTTCCCCAAGCCTACCCCTTCTGACCCTAGAAACTATAAAACTATGAAACTACCCTCTTTAACCAATAAAGCTGTCCACTATAACAAGTGTGATGGACTTGCTGAGAGAGGTATTGGGGCATGCCTTTAAGCTCCCTATGCTCAGCTAACTAAGGGAGGCTACTAGTTGTGCTTCAGGCTTAAGGAAGCACTCCAAGTTCTCACAGTGGGTCAAGAACCCTCAAGGTCTACAAGGCCTGTGTACCCTGGGGGGCACAGGGCTTGAATACAGACCAGACCCCTGGGTGGTGGCAGCGGTTTCCCCAGGCATACAGGTATGCTCCAGGAAGGGGGTCAGCCAGAGGTGAGGGACTCCAGGGGAGGCACTTGGAGCTTGGTAGGTGGTCCGGTCCAGTGAGTTGGGTGGCTTAGTGCAGGAGCACCCCCTACTGGCCCACCACAGGGAGCACCAGAGAAGCTACTGCTGGCTTCCAAGGACTGCCTTCCCCAGCGTATTATTAATAACATCAAAGGTATGGCAGAAAAGAGACTGGAGATAAGCGGGGCTGGAGAGTGTAGCAGGTGGGCTGACCCCAGGTGGCATCAGGCACTGGGGGTGGACCTGCAAACTGCTACACATTGGACATAGTATCACATCATATTTGCATTAAACCAGAATGATACAAAATCACTGTACACATCCTACAGTGTACCATTCAAAAGGACTAAAATCTTGCTTACTGGCAGCTCTCAAAACGTGACTGTAAACAGGGTATCACCAGTGAGCAGAGGCAGGGTCCCTCAGGAATCAGTTCTTGGCCCCACCTCTTTAACATTTTTATCAGTGACCTGAAAGAAAACACAGAACCATTTCTAACGAATCTTGCAGATGTTGTAAAGATGGAGTAAGTGACAAAAATGAATATGATATGTCATTAATACAGAGAGATCTGGATGCTTGGTATACTGGGTGCAAGCAAACAATAAGCATTTTAACAGAGCCAGATGCAAAGTTATGTGTTAGAAAGCTGGCTACATTTGGAAGATGAGGTTCTCTGGGAAGCAGTGGCTCTGACAAGGTTTAGGGAGTTTCCATCTCCATTTCTTTGCTTTTATACTTACATGCTCCAACTTTGCAAAAGCTAATTAACACTAGTTGTGGTGGATGATCAGCTAAATATCATCTCGCAGCAAGTTGCTGTGGACCAAAGAGTTAATGTGAGCCCTGGACATATAAACAGAGACAGATTAAGTAAAAGTCAGTTGTTCAGGTCTTGGAAGAAGCATCCAGTGGCATCAGTTTGTTGTTCATCAGACTGATAGTGAATCAAAAGTTGATTAGTCTGTTATTGTATTTTTTATTAATAAAAATGTGTCCCAGTATTAATAAATAAACATGTAAGAGATTGAGATCAGAGCATCAACATATAGACATACAAATCTTAGTTTATCCTTCTAAATATCATCTAATAATAAATTATGTTTTTTCTCCTCCTATGAAAGTGACATTTTTTAGATTAATTCATATTAAAGCAATAATATCAGGTTGCGTTTTAACAAAATAAACCAGCTTCATCAGTTAAAAGATGCAAACAAAGCATGGGGCTATCACTAAAATAAACAACTGGATTCTAGGTGAGAATCTCCAGTGAAACATTTGTCAAAGTATGTTCATCTGTGGCCTAAAAATATTGCCAATATGAAATGGTAAGTTTTTACTCAAGCTTTCCTAATATTCTGTCTTTGGGCAGAGATCTGAAAAATGTCATCATCAAAGGTTAAAGTGTGACAAAGGTAATAGGAATTCTTAACATAGAAGGAATGGGAAAGCAAAAGATCACTGATACTGTGTACTCCAGATATAATAAATATTAAAAGAATATCAACCAGCATAGACAAATATTTGACCTCATAATACCTTGATAGGCAAAATTTCCTCTCTTTTTTCATTTGTATAAAACTGCAAGATTTGGGACCCAAGCTGAAACAAAGCAAAAGGAAATCTAGCAATTTGATAATATATCTGTACACAAAGTGTGTGCTTTGGAATACATGTAGAATGGTGTTTATAGTTTTGTTTTCTATTACAGTTCACCATACTATAGTAAAATTATAACAAGAAAGTTAAAATGAAAAGATCATTCTTACCCTCAAAGATCAATCACTTCACTGTTTTTAAAACTTCCTGTTTTCCTATATGGTAATTCTTCTTTATCACAGTTGCTTCACAAAACACACTATTGTTGTTTTACTTAGCTTTATTCCCCATCAGCAAAAAAAGCACTGTACTGAAAAGTCTCTTCCATACAAGTTTTCTCACAGATTAAACTCACATAAGTAGATTGTTTGCTTTTAACCCTGACATTTTCCCCTTTACATATCTATTTTTGACACAAATTTTATTTTAGGATGTCCTGACTCTGATACTAAATTGGAAACCCTGGTGTGAATTTTATACAACACTGTTTCCTTTTATAAAGGATGTTCACAGCTAATCTGTCATCCACAGGGCAGACAGAGGCCATACAGCTAGGAAACCAAGACAGGTGGTCTAGCCTGAAACCTGACTTTTCATGGTATGTTTGTGTTAAAATAAATTGTATACATTTCAATAGTTAATGAAAGCTTACCTTATTTTACCACGCTTAAAATTGCTTTATTCTTTAGAGTCTGACACTGTCCCTTTTTAGTTTCAAATTAATGAAGAGTGCAGGATATATATATAGATACACACACACACACACACACACACACACACACACACACACACACACACACACACACACACACACACACACACACACACACACACACA